TCAAGAGAGAACCTCTAAATCCCATTGTCCAAATTGACTCTGCGTTTCAGAAAATCCTCCGAAGTCGTCAATATCTTCCTCCTCATAATCATTGTCTTTAATTCCATTCTCCTCGGAAAATACTAAATTACTCGGGTTCTGCTTCTCCTCTTCCTCTTGAATTTCCTTCTGCTGAGACAAGGCTTCCTTCAAAATCTTCGAGCTCATGCCCGAGGGCACTAGCTTCTGCTCAAGCTGGTGTGGCTTGGGAGGCTTGGAGCGTTTCTTGGAGGAGGCGGCGGAGAGAGACTTGGAGTCATCTGCCAAGAACGGCTCTGGATTAGTTATTCTCGCACGTTTCTTTGTCATCGCTGGAAGTTGCGGCGGCGCGTGAGAGTAAAACCCTAGCCGGTAGAATATTGGAGCACGGACCGTGAGTTAGCAACTAGATTTTCTGTTTTTTACATTAATAGCATAATTTCTTCTTTATATGAGGCGACAAGTGTATGTTTGGCCGAGCTCAAAAATCTACTTATAATTGAATAAGTAAGTTGCTAATAAAAAATAAATTTAACCCTGAAGTCTGAAAACCAACGAAAACTAAAGACGACAAAAAAATAAAAATAAAAATAAAATTCACATGTGGCTGATTAAATGCCATGTCATTAAATCCAAACATGGCTTTGTGAATATTCAATTGAAATTGTGAGATGAAACGCTCATTTCGAACCCGACCTCCATTTCTTGCAGAAACCACTACAGCTCCGCAATTTGTAATTCCCAAAATGGCCGTAAACCCTAACGCCAAATCCAATATGATCCACAATCAATGGACTGGGAAGCGTGATTTTTGGTAGTGCAAGTATCTGTTGCCGCTGAAGGCACAAAATTATGGCTGCCATTTTCAAAATTCAATGGACTTTAGCTCACTTCCAGGGTCAAGTGGAGGGCAATTCACTGATTTGCTCTATGGCCCGAGCCCAAATCGTTCAAAAATGTAGTCAAGAGAACTGGTTGGTGAACAAGATCCGTGTTCAGGCCATGATATGGACCTCAATTGATGGTAATGGAGGTGGACCATCGTTTGGCACGCATGTGGTGATTGAGCGGATTGATCTTGAAGAAATGGATGATGAATTCACACCTTACAACTGCCAATGAGCCTTCCAGATCAAGAGCAGATGCAAGGATACATGCGGGACATCAACACATTGAAGCCTTCTGTGAAATTTTTGAAGGTAGCCTGAACCAAAGAAGTAGACACTAAAAGCCAATGCCAACTCCCATAAACGGTAGCAGAGCAGTGATAAATGTTGTGATGGAGAGATAGCCGCCCCTAACTACGATTCGGGATGACAAGTTATGGAGAGCCAACGCATTTCCTTTGATTCCATACTTGGTGTCCAAAATACTCGTACATTGGACTTGCAAATATCTACGACAGTCAATGCTTCTTCGGTTAGTACGATAAAGGGATGTTTGGCAAATGGAAACACATGCTAATAGCATAGAACGTAATGACCAAAGAGAAGGCATAAAGTGATTCATTATTGCTGGTTTTTGTTTTTGCTAAGGGTCTATTTGATTGTAAGAGTGGAATTTGGGTGGAAAGAAAATGAATTTTAGGAAATTGAATTGCCTATAATTCATTTAAATGAGAATTGTCAATTAATTGCGTTTTGATTGATATAATTTTTCACCTGAAAAATGTTGAAAATTTGAATCTTTTAGTGTTCGTTTGGCTTTATTTTCTATGAAAATTGTCCATTAGAAAGATTTTTTTTATAAATTGGAGATAAAATTCATTTCCATTCCCAAAAAAAAAAAAAAAAGGGGACCGGAAAACCCCATTTCCCACCAAAGTGGTGGGAAAACCAATTCCTCAAAAATAAGAAAAAGCCAATCACGTGAGGCTTCATTGGAAAACAAATTCCATGAAATATTTTACTTATCAAACATGACAAAAAGTGGAAAGTTGGAAAATATATTTCGACTTCCATGAAAAATGGTACTTATCAAACAGGACCTTAGAGATTATTCATTTGATTCACCAATCGTATGTTGTGGGCCACACCCCATGTGAGAGGTGTGTGGACACCGTTTGTGTATATCATGTACACCAGTACCTTCCCAATTAAAGAGTTAGCTTCACAATTTACGAGGACTAGTGAATTAAAACCTGATGGTGGGGTATTCTGTAATCACATGAGAAATATGCTACAGCCCTGTTTGATGGGCAAAGAATTCCTTGGAATTGGGAATTTAAATTCCATTTCCAACCAAAATAATTGTTTGATGGGCAAAATATGGATGGCAATCGATTTTCTTGGGAGGCTGGCCACGCGCCTATTTCCCTTAGAATGAGGGAAAAGTCTTTTCCGTCTGACTTTTTTTTTTTTGCAATGGAAACAAATTTCATAATCAAATGTAAAAAGAATTTCACTTTCATGGACAATTTTGATGCAAACGAATACTAAACTTTGATTAAAAAAAATGATTTTTAGGAAATATATATATTACTTGTTAGCAATGGAAACAAATTTTATAACTAATTGTGAAAATAATTATCACTTTAGTGAACAATTTTCATATAAAATAAAGCCGAACGAACATAAAATTTAAAAATTTTTCGGGTGGAAAATTATAACAATCAAACATACTTAGGCCCTGTCTGGGAGAAATTAAATTTTTCTACAGTAAATCAATTCTCATTTTCAACCACACATTCTTCAATAAAATAATATTTTCCATCACATCAATAATATTTTATTCTTTTTCAACCACACATTTCCCATCATATCACTATTCAAAATCAATTCTTCCTCTACAAAATCCCTACCAAACAAGCTCTTAATGGCATCGGTGATGTGGGGAACTACCTGCAATCAAATCAGGAATGCAGAGATTTTTTACAGTAAATTAATTCTCATTTTCAACCACACATTCTTCAATAAAATAATATTTTCCATCACATCAATAATTTTTTCTTCTTTTTCAACCACACATTTCCCATCATATCACTATTCAAAATCAATTTTTCCCCAAAAAATCTATCCCAAACAAGCTCTTATTTAACAATTCAATGCAAAACATTTTCTAGACAATTACTTTATTTGAAATTCATTTTCTTTCCATTCTTCCAATCAAACGGACTCTACATGTACGGCAAGCCCACCGGCAATTCACACATGTGGGGTGGGTAATTTTTTTTATTTTTTATTGAAGTGGGTCCAGCATGTGAGAGGGTGTGTGAACCCAGATGGAAAAACCCATCACATAAAGAGTAAGGGCCTTTCAGCAAATTCTTAATACTTTCCTTTGTAGAATAATCTAGAACAAAAATCCCACCCGTCAGTTTCCATGATCAACGGTCCACGTCCATCCTCCCAATGTGAATCGAAAAATTAAAATCACTAGAAAGCCTGAGAAAATTCTAGACCCCATCCTTATTCGGAATACAACGGTCATGATCCTTTTACACCTTCCGTTAGACTCAATCTCCACCATACAAAATTCATATATACACATCTCCTTCACCTTCATAGCACTCGTGTTTCCTCTCTCTCTCTCTCTAAAATTGATTGATTCGATTCTCAAATTTATATCTGTAATCTTAGATCTGTATTGTGATTGGTAATTTTTCGGTAAATTTGGTGATTTTGGTAGTAGTTCAAGATGTTTGGGAGGGCACCGAAGAAGAGTGATAACACTAAGTATTATGAGATTCTTGGAGTGTCTAAAACGGCGTCACCGGATGATTTGAAGAAGGCGTACAAGAAAGCTGCCATCAAGAATCATCCAGATAAGGGTGGAGATCCTGAGAAGGTATATTTGGTCATTTTCTATTCATTTATTCTTCGATGTTTTTTTTTTCTATTTGTTATTTTGTGATATTTGATGAAAAATTTACGTGCATGTAGTAGATTCTGCAATTATGTAGCATGTAGTGGTATTTTTTAACTAGTTGTAAAATTAATATTTTCTTCAGTTGTTTGAAGGCGAAATTTAGAAATTGCGTATGAAATCAATTTATGTTGGTTTTTTCCGGATCTGTTTTGAAATCGGTTATTAATTGAGTTGAATGATAGCCCTCGCAGGAGGGAAAAAAGGATCAGTATGAAAAAAGATTGATAATATTTAGGAGGAGAAGTTTAAATTAATTGATGAAAATTGAAAGAGAAGGATTGAAAGTAATTTTATTTGACTTTGATTTCAATACTTGGTTTTAGAATTTACTCTTGCGTTGAAAGGGTGAATACATTTAGAGCTTGTTGAGATTTTAAAAATCATTTTTCTTCAAAATATCTTCAACCACACGTGCTATAGGATCCCCAACTCTTTCATTTTCTTTAACCACACATTTTTTATTTGTTAAAAAAATCATTTTCACTTGAAAAATCAGAACATTATTTCTGTTACAGCAATTTTCCGTGGAAGATTCCATAGGCCGTATCCTACACGAGTTGTATTGGCAAACTCAATATCCTTTATTGTCAATGCTTAAACATGAGTTAATTTTCATTTCCCGTAACATCCCCTCAATATGGTAATGATCATAGGTTGCTGTTGAATGCAGTCTTTTAAACCTTTGTATAGCCGTATCAACCAAATTATGCAGGGCAAGTATTAGCAGAGTCAGAGAATAGAGGTTGCATATGCTGAAGTTGCGTTTTTAGTACTTAAAAAATTGATTTATGTTAGAAAATTAGAGAAGTGAAAAATGTGCTACTTTTGACAAGTTTCTTTTAATTTCTAATCTAATTCTACCAGTCTTCCTGGCTTTATCTAATTTTACGGCCAATGGCCTAGAGTTCTGAGTGGCGTAGTAGCTGTAAGTCGAGCTCCACTGCCAATTATCCTATTGGTTTTCTGTTGAATTCTGAACCTGGAAGGAAGTTGTATTTGAGGGACAACTATACTAGTTGTAATATAATAAAGTGGACTATGAACTTTTTGAATTCTTTTTTACTCTTGCACCTTTTACTAGTTAATTTTGAAAGTCAAAGTAGATTTGTGTAACTTGGTTCAGTGGACATTGGCGATTTTGTTAAATACACAAGCTAGTTGAAATCCTTCAATGCATGCATATTTGGATCTTGCTTGAAAAAGAGCAATTATTTGTCGGATGTTGTCTTTGTTTATCCCCCCCTTTTATAGCAATTGACCTGATTACATGATTTAGATTTAATAATTTTTTATGCTACAGTTTAAGGAGCTTGCTCATGCTTATGAGGTTCTTAGTGATCCTGAAAAGCGTGAGATATATGACCAGTATGGTGAAGATGCACTCAAGGAAGGAATGGGTGGAGGTGGTGGCATGCACGATCCGTTCGACATTTTCTCATCCTTCTTCGGTGGAAGTCCATTTGGAGGTTTTTGACTGAAACTCTCCTCTCTCTCTCTCTCTCTCTCTCTCGTTTTGGATTTAGATGGACATAGTTTGTGTAGCCTTTATTTCTCTGTACTTTGCTTGGAAAACATGGTACACTTACGATGGAGTTATTTGTAATTATTAGGTGGTGGTGGTAGCAGCAGAGGAAGGAGGCAGAGGAGAGGAGAGGATGTAGTCCATCCACTGAAGGTCTCTCTTGAGGATCTGTACCTCGGTACCACAAAGAAGCTTTCTTTATCACGCAATGCACTGTGTTCGAAGTGTAATGGGTAAGTTTCGGTTTCCTTTGCCTGCAATTACACTGCAGACGGGCATCTTAACTCATTTATTCTCTTATGTTTTCCTTGGCAGCGAAGGATCAAAATCTGGAGCTTCAATGAAGTGCTCAGGGTGTCAAGGGAAAGGGATGAAGGTTACAATAAGACAGCTTGGCCCCGGTATGATTCAGCAAATGCAACACCCATGCAACGAATGTAAAGGAACTGGAGAGACTATTAGCGATAAAGATCGATGTCCTCAATGCAAAGGTGAAAAAGTTGTTCAGGAGAAGAAAGTTCTGGAAGTTCATGTAGAAAAAGGTATGCAAAATGGTCAGAAGATTACATTCCCCGGAGAAGCTGATGAAGCGGTACGTTGTCTTAATCTTATATATAACTATAGGATTGAAGAGATTATTGCCCGTGAAGCTGATTGAGAGTTGTGTTTCTCTACAGCCTGATACAATCACTGGGGACATAGTTTTTGTCCTTCAGCAGAAGGAACACCCTAAATTCAAGAGAAAAGGTGAAGACCTTTTCGTGGAGCATACTTTGTCACTCACTGAAGCTTTATGCGGCTTTCAGTTTATATTGTCTCACCTTGATGGCAGACAGCTTTTAATTAAATCACAACCTGGGGAAGTTGTGAAGCCTGGTCAGTAAATCATTTCATTTGAATTTCTCGGGTTTAATAACTAAGTTCTTAAACTTCTATTGTGATCTGACATACGAGTATCGACTGAAAATCTTGCAGATTCTTTCAAGGCAATAAATGATGAAGGAATGCCAATGTATCAAAGACCATTCATGAAGGGTAAACTGTACATTCATTTCACTGTGGATTTCCCAGATTCTTTAAGTCCCGATCAAGTCAAGGCCTTGGAGGAAATTCTTCCTCCAAAGCCTCAGTCACAAGTAACGGACATGGAACTGGACGAGTGTGAGGAGACGACTCTACATGATGTTAACATTGAGGAGGAGATGAGGAGGAAGCAGGCTCAGCATCAAGAGGCGTATGATGAGGATGAGGACATGCATGGTGGAGCCCAGAGGGTGCAATGTGCTCAACAGTGATAAAACAATTTTGAAGTCCTAAATTTCACTGTTATCTTGCTATGAAGAGAGAGATGCTGATTTCTTTTATGGAACGTGATCTAGTTTTTCTGTTGATTTTATGTCCGTTCTTGTCAATTTGCTTGTGATTTTGTTTGCCAATGAGAAAATATAAGGGAACTCAGTTGTCATTGGGTAATTTCTGAGCCATAAATTCCAGTTGGATTAAAGGGTCATCAACTCAAAATGAGGTTTTGTGATTTGATAATTAATGTTAAAACGTGTTTTTGAGAGTTGGCACAGCTCCAGTCGGGAACACATTTGTGGGATGTGAGTTGTAAGAATAGGTAAGGCTTTTCATTTGCCAGGAGAGTGCAGGATTTGAGTGGCAGATTTCATCGTATAGAGCCCACCAGGTAGATTTCGCATCAGAAACAATTTAAGTTGGGCATGAAATAGGTGATAATAAATTTTAATTAATACAAAATTAGTATGGAAAATGTCGAATGAGATCTTTTACCCATCCACTGTTATTATCTCAACAACTTGAAAACTCACCAACTTCTCCCTTCTCAAACGCGCACGGACGGTGCCGAAATCTCTTCTCAGACAATGTTTCTCCGATGTCCCCATTCGCAAGACCTCAACGCAGTTTGATAAATTTGTGATTGAGAAATAACTTATGATCAATTAACATAATGACCTAAAAATATTGTGACTAAATTTCTAATTGTGACCTAAGATTTATGCCTCCATGACCAATTAACAAGTCATACTTGGTTTGAGATAGTTACAGTAAAGACATGCATGATTCCAAATAGTCACAATAAATTTATACTTGGTTACAGTAGGTCACAAATAACACAAGTCTGATCACAAATAATAACAATTTACACAGACATGATCACAAACAATAATAGTTTACACATATTTGATTACAAATAATCGCTTTTAAACATGGTCACATATAGCACAAAACATATAGTCAATAAGTCGCAATCATGCTAATATTTTACCTCATTAGAAATTATGAATTATCAAATACGGAAACATGTTCAAAATAAAAATGCATCAAATTAAATGATTTTATCGTCTAAATTTTTTTTTAATGATCGGATTATAAATCCATGGTGCACAAGAACTAAAATCACTCTCATCAATGCCTAAAAGAACGACTCCCAAACAGGCTGTCAATGTGAAATTGTATATGTAAAGTATTGTAGTGATGTATTTTTCAAAGAAAAAATTACACTGAGCCCTGGTTTTAGTTTTCAATTTTCACAAATCACTTCACAAATTTAACTTTTCAAAAATCAGATTTTTTATATTTAATTTAATATTAATTATATAATTTTCATCCAAATTAAAATAATCCAAATCAACCCTAAAATTCATTCCACCTCCTCCTCGTCTTTGTGCTTGGACCGCCGCCCAACCAGTTCTCTCTCTACCCCCTCCTCTTTCGCCGCCGTCGACCCGCCACCGCCACCTCCACGAGAGCCCACGGGTCCAGATCTATTGTTTCTTCAGTAGCACGGTGCGACTGCGTACGAGAGCCCATAGATCTAGATCTGTTGTTTTTTTCAGCAGCGCGGTGTGACTGCGCTTCTACATGATCCATATTTGTTGTTGTTGTTGTTTTTTTTTTTTTTTTGTGGTGAAGTGGAGTTGTGCGGTGCTGTTGTGTTGCTGTATTTGTGGTTGTAGTGTGATGGTTGGGTATGTGTACGACGTACGACAGTGGTGATCGTGGTTATTTTTGTGCTGTGGTCAGGAGATCTGCACTGCCTAATCATGTATGGGAAGGTGGTGGGCTGCGTGTCATTGTCGGGATCTGCACCGTCGTAATTTGGTGTGGGATTTTTGGGCCGTTTTCAGTTGTGGATGGGGGCTATGGTAGTGGTGGTGGTGTTTGGGTAGCGGCGATTATGTTAGATTGGGTGATGGATCAGGCAGCGGCGTAATGAAGGTGGTGGTGGGACGGTGGTGGTGGTGATGTTGACAGTTTGGTGTAGTGGTGGTGAAAACGTTGACAGCATGCTTGAAATGGTGATTTTGTTGCTGGGATGTGGTGGTGATGGTGGTGTTGGCGACGGAGATAGCAGTGGTGTTGTGTTGGTGGTGGTCACAAATGATTTGTTGAGTGTGACTAATAAATTGGTTGGTGTGTGACCAATAATTGGTTAATTTTTGGCAAATTAATAATATGTGACCTAAAAATTGTGATTGTGACTCACATTTTATTAAGTTATAATCGAGTTGTGACCAATAAAAGTAATATGCGACCTATAATTTGATATTCTGTGATCATAAAATAAGTTGTGTGATTTATAAATTTTGTGATTTGTGACCGATGAATAAATTGTGACTTTTAAATTTTTAATCTGTGATCGATGAACGAACTGTAACTTATAAACTTTTTGAATTGTGACATTAAAATTTTTGAATTGTGACCAAATTGCAAAAATATGTGACCTTTATATATTTATTAATAAAAAATATATATAAATAATTAAGTTATAAATAAGTTTTAATGAAAATCTGATTTTTGAAATTTAAAATATTTATCTTTAATTTTGAAATGGTGATACTTAAATATCTTATTTATGTATTGTTTCCTTTTTCAAAACTTACAAACTAGGGAAAGTGGTCTATTTACCGATAAATGTTAAAAGGATGGGATCCATCTTGGCCCAATCAAGGGAAGGCCCATGTAAAGATTTCTGTTTGAATGTTACTCCACATTAATTGTTATTTGGTAGTATCCCGAAAGGATTCCATAACTGTTCTTTGGTAACTTTCTATAATTCCATAATCAAAGGACTCTTCATCAATTGGGATTCTTTGGACAACGGTCTCTATAAATAAAGACTCTATCATTGTAGTTTTCTCACGTAATCCTACGAACAATAACAGTTCTTTATAGGTAATATAGTCATGACGTTCATAGTTAGTCGATTCTTTGCATGTTTTTTCTTGCTTCTCTTAATTCGTTTTACTCTCATGCAAAGTGACCCCTTCGAGTTTCTCAATAACTTTCAAGGTTCTAAAAAAGGTGATCACATTGAAGGACTCTATCGAGTCAAGAAGTATTTCAACGATTTTGGTTATCTTGATACTCTTGATGCTAACTACAAGGATGTATTCGACGATGCATTGGAGTCTGCGGTTAAAACATACCAACTCAATTACAACCTTGAAATTACTGGAATTTTAGATTCTCGCACAGTGTCATTTATGATGTTGCCTCGATGCGGGGTTCCCGACATTATCGATGGTACTAATGTAATGTATAGTGGTACCAAGTCCTCGAATACTTCACAATCTGCCATTATGGTTCGATGAAAAGAACTTTGCGTCCATATGATGATCAACGTATAGTACTAGAATAATTTCCTTTTTTTAATTTTTGGCGTTTCTTTTTACCAATTCCTTTGTATTTGCTACGCCACTTTCAAATTTAGTCGTTTTGATTGATTTTATAGATAATATAATATATAATTTGAAGACTTATGTTTTTCTCTTTTAGTTCAGAATGCCTATTTTTTAGCTCGTATTATTCCATGGATATTTGGACTAATAATAGTTTGTAAAACTGCAGTGAGATAAATAGTGTAGCCTTTTTTTTTTTTACGAGTTTATCATCAATCGAACTTCATAATTTTGATTTCAATCGAATCGAATCGAATCGAATCGACAATCAAGACAATCAAGAAAAAAGGGCAAGAAATCGAATTGACACGGTAACTTGTAGCTGAATATCTTAGATTATAAATCTTAAATTACATTTTTTGTTTTTGGAAATATGGGCAATAATTGGATTTTCGCTTATTTGGATCTTTTTAATAAACAGTTATTTTAATTTTCAAATTACAATTCTTGTTTCTTAGGAAGAGTTCTCGATAAAGCTTTGAAGTACTCACGGCGTAATTTAGCAAAATCGGCAAACGATGAGATTGCAATAGTGAGTTAAAAATAGTTGCACGAAATGAGTTTAATAAATCTAATTTGTGCCATTACCTCTTTTGACTTATTTTCAGGGCAATATTTCTTGATCGTCGGGTAGGTTTTCTATATGTTTCGAAGAATGCGTGACCAATTGTATGTCACATATTTTAAAATGAAATATCGTAAATCACTATTTAGCATAGCTAACAAAAAATGGGTTTAATAATTTTGTTTTAAGTTAATGTATTGTATTAAATATACAAAATTAAGGGTAAGACTCACTATGACCTCCTTTTAGATTTTTCTTTTTTTCATGCAATGCAATACTAATACATCGAGGGTACGAGGAAGAGAACAAACTATCCAATCCTCGGGCGCATCAAAATGCAATCGGCCATCGGTAGGCTCAAAAGCAGGCGCAAGTTTCCCACTGCGTCCATCAAACAAATTTCCATCGCCATGGTCGGATTAATTTCCTAAATGGTCACTGAACTTTTCTTAAAGTTCCAACGAGGTCACCAGACTTAAAAACTGCCCCGTTAATTGCTTAACTTTGAAAATTGTTATGATCCATCACTGCGTAAACGATGTTAATAAATTTGGAAGGATTTGATGGCATATCACACTTTGGAAACTATAAATCAGATTTTTTTTACATAAATTATACTATAATTAGTTAGAAACTATAATAATCCAACTCATAGAGTTTGTGAAAAACTTTACATTTGGATAAAACCACGCATTAAACAATCATTGAAAAAAAAAAAAAAAAAACTCAAATATACATTGGATGGTTTGCAAATAAAAATCGATCACGTACCTGCAGACTCATGCTCAATGTCATCAAATCCTCCCAATTTTGCAAGCGTTGTTTACGTAGTGATGGATGATGTACCAATTTTTAAAATTAAGTGGCTATAGGTGGTAGTTTTTAAGTTCAGTGATTCCGTGAGAACTTTAAAAGTTTAGTGACCATTTAGGGAATTAACCTGCCATGGTCATATAAAACATATGCAAAGACTTAAATCTGAATATCCTCCATAAAATTCATCATCGAGAAGTCTCTCAAACTAGAACCGTGTCTCGTTAGCCCCATATGATTAGCTAATATGTCAAGGCATATCATATGGGCTCCATAATATGTGTAGGAAAATCAATTTCAAATCTATAGATAAGATTTTTAGCAACTCATATTCTGCGACGTTCAAAGAAAGTGAATTTTGAAATATCTAATGGGTTGGCGCCACAGTACATTGTGTTAGTGCCATTGATAATATCTGGTACCTTACACTGAGGGGCCATCATTGTAGATATTGTGCGAGAATTTAGAATTTCTTTAGTGTTGAGTTTATAATTGAATTTCTTTAGTGTTGAGTTCATTGTCAATTAAATCATTGTTGTTGACATCAAGAGTATCGTGATAACCGAATTGTCAATTAAATCATTCTTCTACTCCTTTTCAATTATACATTTTTCAATATAATAATATTTTCAATCATATCAATAATTTTTCTTTATTTTTCAACTAAATATTAACCATCAAATCAACCAAATATAAGTCGAAAATTGCTATATAATTTTATAATTAACAATGCTACCGTTACAGAAAAAATTATGTAAAAATAACAGAACATGTACATGGGGGGTGTGCCCCATTTTTTATAATAATATTTTATTCACATGGGGCCCACCCCATGTGAGTATTCTGGCATTTTTGCAGATGAAATAGTTTTGTACAAATGGTTTAATTGTTTTATGATAAGCTATATTACAAATGTTTTAATTATAGGGCATTGACTTATTATTAGACCAATTAGCTGCGTAATTTATTGGAACTTGACAACATAGTATTTTCGGATATTTGCAAATTATATAAATATCAAAACCGTTAATTTACTAAGATTAAATTTTAATAAATTTTGTTTTTATCTGTCCATGGAATTTACAACCCCGAATAAGGTTAAATCAAGAGGAAATTACACCCATTCATATGTTTTAAGATTCAATTTCAAAAATCATATTCAAAGTTTGTTTTCAGTTGGTAGATGGGGGCTATGGTGGGTGGTGGTATTTGGGTAGCGATGATTATGTTGGATCTGGTGGTGATTGTGGTTTTGTTGGTGACGACAGCAGTGAATTTTATTGTTGGCGGTGGTGGTTTTGAAGTTGAAAGTGGTAGTTTGTTGGAGGTGGTGACACTTGTACTAGGAGGTTGTAGTGTTGGTTTGATGGTGATGTTGCTATTGGGCTGCGGCCACGGTGGTGGTGGTGGTGGTGCTGGAGGCAATGGCGAGGTGATTGTCGCAAGCGTTGGTGGTGGTCATAGATTATTTGGTTGATTGTGACCTAAATTGGTTCATCTATGACTAAATAAACAATATGTAACCAATAAAAAAGATAAATTGTGACAAAAAAAATATGTGACCTAAAAAATGTTAATTTATGACGGTAATTTGATAATTTGTGACGGCAAAATAAGTTGTGACTTATAATATTTGTGATCGATAAATAAATTGTGACTTTTAAATTTTTAATTTGTGACCGATGAACAAATAGTGACCTATAAATTTTTTGAATTGTGACCGTAAAATAATTTGACACATATAAAATTTTTGATTTGTGATCGAAAAATAATATGTGACTAATTAAATGATTAATTTGTGATCAAATTGTATAGATCTGTGACCTTAATATATTTAATTCATTAAATCATAAATAAATTTTAATAAAAACCTAATTTTTGAAATTTAAAACCTCTATTCTTAATTTTGAAATTGGTGATACTTAATCCCTTATTTATGAAATTTTTCCTTAAATCAAACTAGCTATAATACTCTTAGAAAGATTGTAATTTTCTCCATTAAAATTTTTCAATCATTGAAAGAGCGTTTTTTGAACTGATTTAATTCTTATTCCGTGTTTTTTCCTTTTATTTCAAAGCATGTCAAATAATCAAACATAGAGGTGTCAAAACGGACGGGTCAGACAGACCCTTGAAAATCGGCCCGGATAGACCCCAGACCACGGGCCGACTTGTGACCCGAACTGGCGGTTCACGGGTCAACGAGATGTGAGCCGCAGGCTTCGTTGGTTGCACCTTCACGGGTAGTGGTTAACCCGCTGGCCCGTGAATTTTTTTTTTTTAATTTGAAAAAAAAAGGAGAGAGTCAATCTAGTTGGGATGTACTTAAATTAAAAGTAAGTGCCAACCTAGTTGGAATGTACTTATACTATAAATATTTGATAATAGTAATTAGAAATGCATTTAGTTGTTATTTGTTTAAATTAAATTTAACTTTGTAAAGTTATAAATAATTTATGTAACATTAAATTTGAATTCTATGCAAATATTTTTTGGTATAAATATGAATTTATCATTTTATTCAATTTTTANGTAAACATTTTTTGGTATAAATATGAATTTATCATTTTGTTCAATTCTTAGTTTACATTTAACAAAAAAAATATTTTTTGCTATAAATATGAAAAATTCTATATTTTTATAATTTTATTTATACAATAATACGGGCCAAATCGGAACAAACTGCGACCCGCATTGGCTTGGGTTGTAGTTCAAAATTTGTGGGCCGACCCGAAACCCGTAGTCGGCGGATTTTTTTTTCACGCGGGCCGACCCAACCCGAACCACCCGAATTGACACCTCAAACAAGATGGACAGGTATGCATGATTGACGAAGCTTAAAAAGTTTACTATTCTCCAAAATTCTACCCTTTTTTTTTTGTCCGTGTTCAATTATACATTTTTTAAATAAAATATTTTGCATGTAAATTTATAACTTTTCAATTAAATATTTTCCAAAAAACTCATTGTTCATAAAATATATTCTAAAAAAATTACATTTAATATGCTCTTAATAAATTTAAATTAATAATTATTTAATGATCAAAGTTAAAAATAAATAAATAATTTATTGTCAAATAGTAGGGACGTAAAGATTTACTTTAATAAATTAATTAAATTTATTTTCCTTTTATAATTCTCACAAGCAGGTTGTTTCGAACGTTTTCGCTCGCTAACAATTAAAAAGGGAATCAGACGATTGTGTAAGGGACAAACCTCTTGGAACAAAGTCCCAAAAAGGGGTGTTTATTGAATATGAAGATTACAGTTTGGACACGAACAAGATGCCTCCAAGGGGCGCAAGCACACAAGTAAGGCCATCGGTAGGCTCAAAAGCAGGAGCAAGTTTCCCACCGCGTCCATCAAACAGATTTCCATCACCATGGTCGGATTAATTTCCTAAATGGTCACTGAACTTTTCTTAAAGTTCCAACGGGGTCACCAAATTTAAAAACTGCCCCGCTAATCGCTTAACTTTGAAAATTGGTATGATCCATCACTGCGTAAACGATCCTGATAAATTTGGAAGGATTTG